TCACCAGCGATTACGCCACGTACTACCACGCCATCATGCCCACGGCCTGCCCGCCTGTCATGGGCTTCTACCAGCCCTTCCCGGGGCCGTTTGCGGGGCCCGTGCCGGCCGGCGTGTTGAACCCCGTGTCCGACTGCAGCGAGAGGCCGACACCACAGAGAGGGAGAGGCGTCCCACGAACACCTGTACTGCACAAGGTATGAGATGAGCCCTGAACACGCACGCACACACACACACACACACACACATAAAATATCAGATTATAAAATATCGAAAATACAGAAGCTGCATCTGAAACACAGACGGTTTAATGCAGCTCAGAGGAACATCAATGTGTTTAACCTGCAATTACAAATGCATAAATAATGTTTTGATGTTTTTAACATAAAACGTTGAATATTGATATTTTGAAATTATATAAAAAATAAAAGGATACTTTAAATGTGAAATGTCCAATCAATGTCCACATCTCTCCGAAACAGTGTGTGACATTAGAGTAAGTGTGTCCCAAAGCATAGTGTGTTGAAGAGAGTGCCAGAAGTCCCGGATGATCTACTATTCCCAGTGGATTTTAGAAGTGTGGATCCGTGCTCACTATAATGGCTAATATTACCCACAACCCCTTTCGCTTTGGAGGAACTACAAACACGAGTTAAAGTGTTAAAAAACTACAAAACATGGCGGATATGCGTGACCTACGGTGATGAAAAGTTTAACTTGATTAAAAAACATGTATTTAATGTTATCCGTATTATATTTCCTCTGCAAAAACAATGTGGACTTTTATTAAGATCCGTTTGGCCATTAACTTTTAAATGCATCATTATGCATTAATATGAGGAGAGTCTCTGCATGAAAGACACGCGACTGCAGATCAACGTGATTCTGCATTTCTGCACGTGAGTCAGTTTACTGTGACAAGATGATTGACAGGTCAGTTTACTGTGACAAGATGATTGACAGGTCAGTTTACTGTGACAAGATGATTGACAGGTCAGTTTACTGTGACAAGATGATTGACAGGTCAGTTTACTGTGACAAGATGATTGACAGATCAGTTTACGGTAATAAAGATGATTGACAGGTCAGTTTACTGTGACAAGATGATTGACAGGTCAGTTTACGGTAATAAAGGTGATTGACAGATCAGTTTACGGTAATAAAGATGATTGACAGATCAGTTTACTGTGACAAGATGATTGACAGGTCAGTTTACTGTGACAAGATGATTGACCGGTCAGTTTACTGTGATAAGATGATTGACAGGTCTGTGACAAGATGATTGACAGGTCAGTTTACTGTGACAAGATGATTGACAGGTCAGTTTACGGTAATAAAGATGATTGACAGATCAGTTTACGGTAATAAAGATGATTGACAGGTCGGTTTACTGTGACAAGATGATTGACAGGTCAGTTTAAGGTAATAAAGGTGATTGACAGATCAGTTTACGGTAATAAAGATGATTGACAGGTCAGTTTACTGTGAGGGAGAGCAACCGTTAAAGACGGATTTGAATGACGTGATAGTGTGTCCCAAAGCTTGTCTACTCTTCTGCTACACACTCAAAAGTATCTACTTTTTCTTTACAAAAAGATTACATACTTTTAGAGTGTAGTGCAAATAGGCGAATCGAGACACAGTCTTAATGAGTCAATTCAAACGATTCGTTTGTTCAGTAAGCAAACACCGCCGTGTGTTACTCAGACGCAAAAACAGACAATATTGTGTCTAAAATGTAAGTCACTTAATATTAACTTGTTTACTGAACTCTTGTATAAAATCAAACAAATCATACTTGTAATCATGCTAATACCTGGAGAAAAGCGGCACTCTTCGTGTGATATTGATTAACTATATTAAATGATGCAGACATACTTTAAAGACATACAGAGATATTTTTGCCCCTTATCTTGAATATTAGGGACATTAAAAATGCATTTTAATAGATTAAATCACACATGCCTTCTCTAGTCTCTAGATGTGTTTTTGTAAAGTGAGGGACTGACTCAGACTGCACATCATTAAAACAACAATCACGATATTATAATAGACGATATATCGCACGACCGATTGGGACTTTTTGATGGCTGTCGCAGGAATGCGCAAGGCGAGCCAATGCCATTGGTGGACCAGCATACGTGACCCTGACCACAGACCCAGTCCCAGTCCCGAGTCGCACGGGTGTTTCTGTGGCAATAGCCAACAATACACTGTATGGGTCAAAATTATCGACTTTTCTTTTAATGCCAAAAAATCATTAGGATATAAAGTAAAGATCATGTTCCATGAAGATATTTAGTAAATTTCCTACCGTTAATATATATAAAAAATATTTCTGTGAGTGGATGCAGCAAAATCGTGAACATAAATGCACAACTTTAAAGGAGATTTTCTCAATGTTTTGTTTTTTTGCACCCTCAGATTCCAGATCTTCAATAGTCGTATCTCAGCCAAATATTGTCCTATCCTATCAAACCATACATCAATGAAACGCTTATTTATTCAACTTTCAGATGATGCATACATCTCAATTTCAAAAATGGACCCTTGTGACTGGTTTTGTGGTCCAGGGTCACATATGTGACTGTAGATTTCATTGATTTAAACTAACCCTGATGTGTCGTTTACATCACTCACAGCAGCCGATGGCTCAGCCAATAAGAGCCAAGCGTCCCGTGATGCGGAGCGTGGCGGTGCAGAAGGAGGTGTGTGCGACCGGGCCTGATGGGAGGACCAAGACGGTGCTGTTGGTGGACGCAGCGCAGCAGACAGGTACTGACCTTTGACCTTTGATCGACTGTGCGATTGCAGTTTAACAAATGCATAATGTTTTGAATCAAGTATTCATCACTTCAATGAGCTCATTGTTTCTGCCTTAAATTATTAAATTGTTTAAATTAATAAATTTTTTGCTCTAACTGTGATTTTGTATATGCACATTTCTGAAATGCATAACTTAGACAGTTTCCTCTGATAACAGATCACTGTATATTGTAATATGGACTCATGCATTTTCTGTAAAGCTGCTGTGAAATGTGTATTTTGAAAAGCGCTATACAAATAAATGTGAATTGAATTGATGATTTAAACACAAAATGTTGAATATTGATATTTTTAAATTATTTTGTTAAATGTGAAATTTAAACCGCCAGTAGGTGGCAGCGAGTCACTGTTAATGAGTGAGTCATTGAGATTCAACCGATTCATTCAAGCGGCTGATTCATTCAGGAACGAAGAAGCATTTGACTGTCTTAATGAGTGAGTCATTGAATGATTCATTCAAACGTGTGTGTGTGTGTGTTCAGATTTCCCCGGCGAGGCGTCCAGCAGCGGGGCGGTCAGGTGTGTGTCGGATCAGGCGAGTCCTCAGCTGTGGAATAATAAAGCTCGACGCAGGCGCACGTCGCAGCAGGAGTCGTCCAGTGAGCAGGGAGCCAGCGAGGCCGACATCGACAGTGACAGCGGATACTGCAGTCCTAAACACAACCAGGGAGCCAACAACACCTCCACCCATCAACACACACCCGCGGCGGTACGCTAAATCCTTCCCTCGGGTCATTTTGACCCCAAACACGTTTTTAAAAATGTAAAAATTGAGTGTTCATCAGAGGGGCACAAGACGCACTTGAAACACGAATACGCAAAAAATATTGAAGAGATTCGAGTTTTGTGGTTGATATTTAAAAAAGTAACACATCCTTCCCTCTCGGGTCAATCTGACCCCTTTAGGAATGAGTGAATGCGAGGAATGCTTCAGTTCACATAGAGAAACCTAAACATGCTCAAAATTCAAACTAAAAATGCTAAAACTTTACCAAAAAATGATTTTATAATGTCTACATGTGTATCTGAGCGCACACTGAAGCCGAACTGGCTTTAGGACCCAGCGGAACAGCTCCTCTGCTCCATATAGAGCTAAAAGCCCATCTAGAGGCATCAAATATCATGTGTTATTATTATTATCCACAAGAGGTCGACAAAGATACTCAAAGTAGGATATTTAGAGCTGAATTAAAAGGGTATGCATGAAATTGTGAGTTGAAAGAATGTGAGGAATGTGCTTAAATGACTATTTATTTATTATTTATTGATCGAATCTAGTAATTTATTTTAATTAGTAAATAAAATAAAAAATAAGTGAAAAATGTAAAAAATATTATCAAAATGAAATAAAATAAGGTTTCTGGACAAAAAAATAATAATTAAGTGTAATTTTAGGGCTTCGGGTCATCTTGACCCGCCTGGCTAGAGACGCGTGTGTGTTTCAGGTCTGATGAGGCTTATTACGGTTGCTGTTCTCTGATCTGTGTGTGTGTGTGTGTGTGTGTGTTTGTTTGCAGGCTGTGGACGCTGGCGTCATGACAGGTAAGATCTCTCTTTCAGCTGAACGCTTATGAGCGACTGTAACATGATCAGGCTTCTTGTGTTCGTTCACACCGAGACCGATAACTGGGACCATAAAGTTTATAATCGCAATAATCAAGAAAAGTGCACAACTATAACAATAGCGGCACAGAGAAACAAAACAACGTTGGTATCACTTCCAGAAAGTTTTTTCCAGCTGATGAATGATAAAAACATTGACAGCCAATCAGAATCCTTCCTGCTTCATAGAGCTCGAGCATTTAAATATCGCTGTAGGATATATTGTGCACTAGTGTGGACGCTAATATAGTTAACACTATCGTTATAGTTATGTTGTACTTATCATTATAAGTATTCTTATAGCTATCATTCCATTTTTTTATAGTTATTGTTTGTTATCATTATAGTTATATTATATTATTATAGTCAAATGTTTTCTAATTTTAGTCGTAGTTATCTTTCTAGTTGTCATCGTAGTTACTGTCATAGTTATCATTATAGTTATTGAGTTATGGTTATCATCATAATTATAGTTATCATAGTTTTCGTTATCATCATAGTTGTCCTCACAGTTAGTGTCAATTACAGTTATCGTTATAAATATATATATTTTTACTTATATATGTGTGTGTTTTTCACATTTATCTTTATTTTTTATTTTCCTATCTGTGTACTGTAAGCTTCTGTCGCCAAAACAAACTCTTTGTGTGTGCAAACATACTTGGCAATAAAGCTCTTTCTGATTCTGATTTAATTGTAGTTATTGTTATAGTTATCGTTCTTGGTGTGATGGGCCTTTAAACGCGTGTGTGTGTGTGTTCACAGCGGTCAGCTGGGGGAATGTCTCGTCGCAGGCCGTCCAGAAGCCGTGGACTGACAGGAACACACCGTTCTTCAGAGGCAGCAGAACACCTGAGAGGAGCTACACACAGGTACAGCTCGACCGCTCATTTATATTATACAGCGCTTTAACAATTTTTCAAAGCAGCTTTACAGTGATAACAGGAGATTACAGTAACTGAGAGTGTTTAGGCTTTACAGCAGCTCTAGAATAAAGTTATTGTCCAGATAAAGTTAGTTTTGATTGATTCACTTCCGTCGCAAAGATCATTAGTTATTAACTTAGAGGGCGCTAACACGACACCGCTCTACTGAAACTGTTAGTGTGTTCTGGACGTTCATTTGCACGACAGTGTTTGGTGCTCGAGAACGCACTTTGAAACGTTTGCTTCCAAGGGTCAAGTTTTGAAAAGTTTTGGGGTAAAACCGTTTCTCCCAAATCTGTGAGTTATTCTGCATCATCTGACCCGCATCTGACCCCCATCTGACCCGCATCTGACCCACGTCTGACCCACATCTGACCCGCATCTGACCCACGTCTGACCCGCATCTGACCCGCATCTGACCCACGTCTGACCCGCATCTGACCCGCATCTGACCCACGTCTGACCCACGTCTGACCCACATCTGACCCACATCTGACCCCCATCTGACCCGCATCTGACCCACGTCTGACCCACGTCTGACCCACGTCTGACCCGCATCTGACCCGCATCTGACCCACGTCTGACCCACGTCTGACCCGCATCTGACCCGCATCTGACCCACATCTGACCCACGTCTGACCCACATCTGACCCACGTCTGACCCACGTCTGACCCACATCTGACCCGCATCTGACCCGCATCTGACCCACGTCTGACCCACATCTGACCCACATCTGACCTGCATCTGACCCGCATCTGACCCACGTCTGACCCACGTCTGACCCGCATCTGACCCACGTCTGACCCACATCTGACCCGCATCTGACCCACGTCTGACCCACATCTGACCCGCATCTGACCCGCATCTGACCCACGTCTGACCCACATCTGACCCGCATTCGACCCGCATTCTGACCCACACCTGACCCACATCTGACCCGCATCTGACCCACATCTGACCCGCATCTGACCCACATCTGACCCACATCTGACCCGCATTCGACCCGCATCTGACCCACACCTGACCCACATCTGACCCGCATCTGACCCACATCTGACCCGCATCTGACCCACATCTGACCCGCATTCGACCCGCATCTGACCCACATCTGACCCGCATCTGACCCGCATCTGACCCACATCTGACCCGCATCTGACCCACATCTGACCCGCATTCGACCCGCATCTGACCCGCATCTGACCCGCATCTGACCCACATCTGACCCACACCTGACCCACATCTGACCCGCATCTGACCCGCATCTGACCCGCATCTGACCCACATCTGACCCACACCTGACCCACATCTGACCCGCATCTGACCCACATCTGACCCGCATCTGACCCGCATTCGACCCGCATCTGACCCGCATCTGACCCACATCTGACCCGCATTCGACCCGCATCTGACCCACATCTGACCCGCAGGACTTCCAGATGAGCTTCGGGTGTCGTGCAGCAGGACAGAGGAGATCCACCCCTCCAGAGACCCCCAACACACACCTCACACCTGAGCCACTGTACTTTCAGGTACACACACACACCCAACACACACCTCACACCTGAGCCACTGTACTTTCAGGTACACACACACACTCGCACTCACACACACACTCGCACTCACACACACACATGCACTCACACACACACACATACTCTCACGCACACATACTCACGCACACACATACTCACACACACACACTCAGACACACACTCTCCAAAACACATACTCACATACACTCACTCACTCACACACACTCACTCACACACACACACACACACACACACACACACACACTCACACTCACACTCACACGCGCACACACACACACACACACATACTCTCTTACACACACACACACACACACACACACACACACACTCACTCACTATTTATTGTTGATTGTCTCTGTTTGTCCTGTTGTTCAGGATGAGGATGAGTTTCCTGATCTGGCCACAGGCGGCGCTGCTCATCGGAATAAACCGGATCCAGTTCAACCCAAACTTCACAAGAACCTGGTGAGTGTTTCGCCTGGGGGTAAAAACTATTTTTTTTTTTTAAATATCTTTGATATTTGAAATATCTTTGAAACCACATTTAGATCAATATGCAAATATCTGCTGTGCTATTTCCTCTCAATAACAAAATAAACACAACTAAAATGCCAGCGGTGAGAAAACAGTTCAGAAAGCATCTGATCACTGTGATGTTGATGTTTACACTAGATCTGCTATTCAGCACTCCAGTCACGTCACGTTTATTTATACAGCACTTTATACAGTAGATCTCTTTAAAGCAGCAGATTTACAGTATTAAACATCAAAAACAGAGTCAGCTTCAGTTTCTACTATAAAGCGTCTCTCAGTGTGTTCATGTTTGTCTGACCTCGACCGACTGAACTGAAGAAATGAACCAGAGAAGAGTTACACCTCAAAAAAGGCGGAGCCTCAGAGCCACGCCCACTTATTACATCATCACATGGACCAAGGCTAGCTTGAAGGCGTATGCCAGACAGAGCAAACTTTCCAGAAAATTAGCTTAGATGAGCGGTTTCAAACTGCAGGTTTAAGGTGTCATTGTTACAGTGTAATTATTTATTTAAGTACTGAGTAATAATGTAATTACTATAGGGTTAGGGTAGGATTAGGGTTTGGGTTAGTTGCATGTAATCATGCATATTTTCCTGTTATAATTATGGTAAGTACATGTAACATATGTAACAAGGACACTGTGAAATAAAGTGTTACCAACTTTTGTTTTGACCAAATTTTGTTTGAAATGATGCCACACCATGAAATATATCAGGGCTTTAAACCTCTGTGTGTGTGTGTGTGTGTGTGCAGCTGGATAACCTTCCGGAGAATTCCCCCATCAGCATCGTGCAGACGCCCATCCCGATCACCAGCTCCGTTCCCAAGAGAGCCAAGAGTCAGAGGAAGAAAGCACTAGCGGCCGCTCTCGCCACAGCGCAGGAATACTCCGAGATTAGCATGGAGCAGAAGAAACTACAGGTACACACACACTCCATCTGTACAGCTCCAGACTCTCTCACACACACACACACACTCCATCTGTACAGCGGTAGTCTCGCATAGCCAGAGCTCCAGACTCTCTCACACACACGCACACACACACACACACACACACACACTCCATCTGTACAGGAGTAGTCTCGCGTAGCCACTGCCAGAGCTTCAGACTCTCACACACACACACACGTTTGTTTCCAGGCGGATCGATAAAGAACGCGACAAACACGTCTCACGGATATCCTGTAGAATTAAACCAATCAGATCGCGACTTCGAAACTCCTGAAGTGTTTCCAGAAAAGTGTTCAGCCAATGGTCCGTGATTGAGACTAGTGGAGGAGTGTCCTGAACATCAGATCTGCCATGGTTGAAGAACTGTGTGTGTGTGTGTGTGTGTGTGTTTAGGAGGCTCTGTCTAAAGCAGCCGGTAAGAAGAGCAGGACGCCGGTACAGTTGGATCTGGGCGACATGTTAGCGGCGCTAGAGAAACAACAACAGGCCATGAGAGCGCGGCAACTCAACAACACCAAACCACTCTCATACACAGGTACGACACTCTAAAACTACATTATACACATTACTCTTCAAAACAAAAGTAAGCTATTTCCTGTAAATGTTGGTAGTTGGAGCGCTGCACTGTTTATGATTATGTATTTTCATAAGTTAGCATCACCCTGCTTGTTTACCACGCAAACCCAATATTTTGTATTATTATTATTATTATTATTTTGTATATGTATTATTACTTTTTTATTATTGTAGCCTGTTACCAACACAAGTTTATTATTCTTACACTGTCCTAACCAGATAAGATTCCAGCGACAAGCAGAATTAATCAAAATCAATTAAAATCACAGCCAATCAGAAGAGCGTGTGGGCGGAGTCTCTACAAGCACACTGCACTCATAAACAAACTGGATAAATTCGTAATTATTACAGCATTTTAACAATAAAAAATACACACTGAGTGACCAAAGCATTCTTTGCTTTGAAAACAGTTTGTTCACAGTTTGAAAGTTATTGTTTCCTTTTGTTTATTTTCATAGATCTGAGGTGAATTATCAGTATTCAGTATGGCTATAAATATGATTCAAACTCACATTAGATGCTTTTAACATGAAATAAAGCACATAATCAGTATCTGCGATGATCATTGTCATACTTTGTCGCAAAAATAGAAATGTTTCTAAAATAGAATTGTTGCTGATTAACATGAAAAGATATCTTTATCTTAATAAAGTAATAAAGTCAGTAACAAAAAGCTGTAAAAAAACCTACATTATGGTCACATGACTTCATGCAACAGTTTCAGTCTTTATTTTAAAAAAGAATTCCCTGAATGTTTGGGTTAGAATAGTAGAATGAGTTTTGCTGCACATCACAACACAATTACTAAAACTTTAAACTAATATTTAGGGCTGTCAATCGATTAAAAATTTTAATCTAATTAATTACATACTCTGTAATTAATTAATCTAAATTAATCGCATATACACAATCTTACAATGTTTACATGGTACAATTTCTGGTAAGCTACGTTTTTATTATTATTGCTTGACACAAATTTCACGATTTCAATTTAATTGAATTCTTGTGATTTGATGCAATATTGACTC